CTTTACAACAGTTTGTTCTATTCCCCTTTTTTATTGCCAATGTTATTGCGGCTCTCCTCCCCAAGCCTATTTCGTGGGAAGGAATTAACTTAGTTGCCGCCTTCCCCTTTTAGGGCTAGGAAAGCTCCAGCTTTGTGAGGAATGTCATGCCAGAGTAAGGCCCTGCAAGGATGAATGGACAGACGGATGGACAGACGGACAGATGGATGGGTAGGTGCCTGGATGGATGGGGGATGGGTGGGTAGAAGCATGGATTTATGGTAAGGGAAATGGCTCCTCTATTGGAAAAAAATCCCTCAGGGTAGAGGAAAGAAGGAATGGCCTTGAGAGTCAGGAGGAAGAGCCACTAGCAAGGCAACAGTCAGATAAAAGGATAAAAAAGTCTGGAGCAAGAATGTAGCGTGAGTAAACATCTCAGATATGACCCTCCCTAGTTCTCATGAAGATAAAGGGAAAGATGGGGGGGGAGCACATTTGGACTTGCAAGAATCCATTACTTTAGCTTTACAATAAAGTAGTATTTACCTACAACGACATTGGTTTCCTAGTCTGATCTATCTTGGAAGGCTGACACTCAGTGCCAGCACTGATCATGACTCCATCCAGTTCAGCTCAATGCCTGGTGAGCTCCAGGACTCACTCAGGTTTTTTGCCATGGCACAGGAGGGGGTGACCCTCTTTCTCCCAAGGAGCCTTTTCCAATTTCCCAGTCGAGCCTCACCTCTGGGATTTTCTGCTGGTCTCTGACCCAAATACTAACCAGACCCAACACTTCTTAGCAGGGTGGTCAAAATACTCAAGGTGGCAAAGCACACAAAAAACAGGCAGGGCTTCAGTCACAGTGATGTGGCCACCATCTTGACTTTTTGACCTCACCTTGCAAATACTCCTGCTGCTTAGCTTTCTGATAACCCACCGAGGTCGCCTAGTCCCTGGAGGCTTTCAATACAGGCAAGAGGTGTTTCCAAAGACCCAGCAAACCAGTTCAACCGGCTTTGGATTAGCTGTACCTGCTGGATAGTCTTCAAGGGTTGGCTCCAGGGACCATGCATGAGAGCAGTTTAAATGGGAAGGTATCAGGATCATGGACTCTTTCCTATTGCAGGGGCAAGTTGGCAATGTGGGGGCATTGCCCGAGGAAATGGGGCTGAACATTTCACCCATCTCTTGATTTCAGAGGGGTCGAGGGATGACCCTAAGGCTGGCATGATCAAGGCCTGAAAACCTGCCCAGGACCGAGAAGGGCTCAAACCGTCCTTGGCTGTACTGAGTTCAAAGCAGATTTTCCCACGTCTTCTGAGAGCATCCTAGGGCTACCTCAGCTGCGCAAAATCGGTTAGGCTGACCTTGGAGGAAAGGCAGGGGGATACAGGGACTGGGAACAGAGGCAGAGGAGGGATGAGCAACAGGGACAGCAAAGCCCAGCCAGGGAGAGTTTTGTACCAGCTTTAGGCAGGATGAAGAGTGTTTTAGCTTGGCAATGGAGAAGGGCCCATAATATCAAACAATGCATCAAGGCTAAGGGAGATTTCATACATCTACTTTCATCCTTGTATGGAAGAGTAAGGAAGGTGACCTTGATGGAGATATGCAGGATCCATTGCCTAGGCCAAAGGGCTGAAGCATTTTTTAAGTCCAGGAACCCAGATAACATTCAGAATCAGCTCAGAGAGACACCTCCCTAATTCACTGAACTATAAGGAGGAAGAGGAGCCACACAAATATGGTCAGACATGCAAGATGAGGATATTATGGTCAATCTCAACAGAAATAGTTTTAGTCTTCACATGGAGTTGGTTTCCTGATCTGGTCTACCTGGTGGGGCTGACACACCCAACTTCATGGCCACAAAATGGTGGTTGGAGATACTCCAGGATGACCTGGAGACCCTGGGACCAGTGCTGGAGGCTTACTGTGGGTGCTGAACTGCTCCAGATGAGGGTTTTCATCTTGACAAAACAGCGGATCTTCTTGGAGAGGTACACAGCGTCTTCCACAAAGATGATCACGGACAGCAGAGTGAGAAAGGTTGCCATGCCAATGATGGCAAGATCCACAAAATTCTGCTCTGCAACGGCCAACGTATTTAATGTTTAGCTGCGCAAACACCTCACTCCCCAACAATGAGCAAAACAGCCCTGCCCTGCATTTCCACCTGATAGCAAGCTAGGAAAAACTAACCAAAGTCAATCCTAATTAAGCTTCGCATGTTGGGCAAAGGCATTATTAGTTAGGTCTTCATCTGACTTGGTTACCTATTTTGTGTGAACGCAGACACTGCATGAATGCAGAAAATGGGTTGATTCAGCAACTACAGGTTTGTGAAAAGATGTCACTCACCCAACAGGTTTCTGGTTCTGGAATTATCGGGTAACCTTGTTCTGGGTTACACAAGACCTAAACTTAATAGATGGGCGAGGTTTGTACAACATGCTAAGCCACGAAAATGCAACCATGGTTAAAGCTATCCAGGAATCCCCTCTTCCAAGCTTATCTGAACTTGCAGGAGGTGAAGCTAAGGGTCTATGCCTGCATCAGAAGTCATTCTTTTTTCTTACTAGCCCTCTTCCACCCCCAGGGGTTCTCCTAGCACCCTCCTTGTTGTTTTTTTGAAGATGCCTATGCCATTGGGTTAGCAGGTTAAAGATTTTCGTGGTTTTCTCAAGATCACGTAGTAAACAGGCAGCTCTCTCCTTTGCAACATCTGATTGCTGGGCTGTGTCTTCTACGGTTCTCACGGGACTGCTGCTTACATTTAACTTTTGCAAGCTGCCGTATGGGCTGGCCAGATGAGAAACCTCTGTAAATATAATCACGGGATCTTGAACTCGCTTGGGGAGGCATTTTGTGGCTCTTGGGTGGTATGTAGGAGCATGATGTTTCTAGGATCCCAAGCTTGGTGGGGGGGGAAATCCAGAGGAGTCTCTTTGCACCATTTCTGACTGCAAATTTGATTCAAAGGCAGAAGCTTTCGTGAACGTGCACCCAAGTGTATGCCTTTGAATAAAATGAGTGGTTGGAAAAAGTGCAAACAGATTCCTTCTGATTTTTTGCCACCATAGACCAGTGTTTCTCAACCTCGGCGGCTCGAAGATGTGTGGACTTCAACTCCCAGAATTCCCCAGCCAGCCATGCTCGCTGGGGAATTCTGGGAGTTGAAGTCCACA